AGCCCAGTTCGATTTTCGGGGCGGGGAGTTTTTCTCATGAGCTCCGACGTCTAATTGAACGGTTTTACGTAAGCCTATAAGTAATATAAAGCAAACCCCTCTTTTTGACGAACGCGGTTGGCGGCTCACACGCATGTTGCAGGTCAGAGTGGGTGGTATGAAACGACGCGTCTCGACCGTCTCCGTGTTGTTTGCTAGGTGTGCACGCTGTCAGTGCACGGGTTTTGTGTATTTCGCCGAAAATCATTCTGGATTCTAATGAAATCGGACGTCTAAATGGCCGACTCGGCGGCGCTCTGAACGGCAGACGGCTTAAAAGATCAACTTGAAACTTATACGCCCGTCTAGCGGCATCGATTTTGGCGAGGCACTTTTCGGATCTTCGGCATTTTGGAGCATAGTTAAGATCCGAAAAGTGCCTCGCCAAAATCGATGCCGCTAGACGGGCGTATAAGTTTCAAGTTGATCTCTTAAGCCGTCTGCCGTTCAGAGCGCCGCAGAGTCGGCCTATTTAGACGTCCGATTTCATTAGAATCCAGAATGATTTTCGGCAAAATGCACAAAACCCGTGCACTGACAGCGTGCACACCTAGCAAACAACACGGAGACGGTCGAGACGCGTCGTTTCATACCACCCACTCTGACCTGCAACATGCGTGTGAGCCGCCAACCGCGTTCGTCAATAAGAGGGGTTTGCTTTATATTACTTATAGGCTTACGTAAAACCGTTCAATTAGACGTCGGAGCTCATGAGAAAAACCCGCCGCCCCGAGAATCGAACTCGGCTCCTCTAGGTGATATGCGAGGATCATATCCACTTGGCCACAGGCGCTTGGTGGACGATCGGTCTGATTGACATTCAAACTTTGCAGGCAACTGTGTTTACCAATTATGCTATCGTAAGTATAACTTGGTCTTTCGGATGAACTATTTTCCCAAACAAGATCAGGGGTTTTAGCTAGTTGTAAATATTCAACACAACATTACAATTTCTCATCGAGTAGGTAAGCTCCACGATCCGCGAGTCTTCCGCTCCGCCCCTGCACTTGACGTCACCTGCCAAGCGCCGCTACATCCTTTCGCTCCGCCCATTGGCATGACGTCACGGCTCGGTCTCCGAAGACGTGTATACAGTTTGTAACTTTGCGGCCGGGAGGGGCGGCGGAGGCTCCAGAATGGCCCGGTTCTCTGTGCCTGAGAAGCAGCACATGACAGTCAGGGCCCCACTGACGGAGTCAAGGATGCTTAAAGAGTGATAGACTTACCTCAGGTTGATTTTGGCAGTGGAGCACGTGCTTTGGGTGTCGAGCATTAGGTGGAACTTGAATAAACGTCCATTAGGGTGTTTCACATTTTCAAAGTGCCATATTGCGAGTCATATCGATGTAGTCCCCTCAAATGTCATCTGCTCACAAGTTTCTGTGTAAAATTTCACTTCATTCTGATGATGTTTAGAGGTCGCACATTTCTGCGACTTTTCACCTCTGATTTTGTTTCTGGCGGTAACATGAGTAGTCTTCCTGCGAACTGATTTGGTTGAGAAAGCCAGGCAGTGGCGGCGGAATAGGGGGTGCAGCTGCACCTCCATCGAAAAACATGGGGGTGCAAACATATCTTTTTTGCACCCCCAAAATCCATACAAGGGGCCCGTCGCACCATCCAATACATTTTCTCCTGAAAACCAGCGATCGGGAAACGAACACTGATGTGGAATCATCCGGGATGTCTATTTATGGTCAGGAGCGCCCCATGCTAGTCGGGGCCTCCACACCGGCTAGAAGTGTCCCGAGCCGCGTTTGGTGCTCCACACGGCATCTGAGGGCCCCCACGACGGCCTCAGAGGGCCCTTTTATGACGATCTCTGAGGGCTCCCACCTGAGGGCTTTGTCCCCTGGGGCCCTACAACGGCCACTAAGGGCCCTCGTGACGACCGCTGAGGGTCCCACAGAGACTCCAGGGGCCACGCTGGCCTCTGAGGGCCCCTATGACGGCCTCTGAGGGCCCTTACGATGATCTCTGTGGGCTCTCACGACGAACTCTGTCCCCTGGGGCCCTATAACGACCACTATGGGCCCTCATGACGACCGCTGAGGGTCCCACAGGACTCCAGGGGCCCCACTGGCCTTTGAGGGTCTCTACGACGGTCTCTGAGGGCCCTCGTGACGGCCCTAGACCCAACTCAAGTCTGAGGGCCCATTTGGCTTCAGGCGGCCCAGCGACGGCCTCTGAGGGCCCCAACACAACCAGGCTGCGGGGGCTATGATGGCATCTGAGGGCTCTGCAACGGTCTATTGAGGGCGGCAGGGCCCTAACAACGATGGCCTGCGAGTCGTGGAACTCAACCGGAAGGCGCTGCCCAAGCGCACCAAGGAAAGATGTGCCCCCTTCTCTGTGTAACGAGTTTTGGTGACAAAAGTGTGCGACCCCTAAATATACTTAAATTTGGGTTTCAAGCGTATCAATCGATTCAGTTTTACGGGTAGAGTTGGGGCAAAGTCGATATGGCTGAGTTTTGAACCAACATTATTTTACCATAGTGTAATGAAACACCCTAACGTCCATTGCACTTAATGGTGGGCCTAATCAGGCCGTCGATTGCAAAATATGACACTTTTCAAAGTGCAATTTTTAAAAAAGGTCATCGATCGATTTTGATAAAAATTACATTTTTTAAATCAGTTCAACTCACTGTTCACTATCGAGCAGCATGACCCATTTTTAGCCTTTTTTGACCTTTGGCGTTGCATGAGCCTTTAGTATACAAACGCCCTTATCACATATAGGGCCCAGAGGCATCCCTCTTTAGGCACCGCACTGTGACTGTTGACCCCTCACAGGCCGGTAAGGACTCTTATAGGCAGACGACGGGACATCAGAAGACGTTGTGGGGCTCTTATGAAGATGAGTGTGGCTTCCTCGGAGCCTGCGAGGTATTCTCGCAAGCTCTGTGGGGCCAATCAGAGTCGAAATATGGCCAGCGTTTTTCAGCGGCCACTTGGTCCCGCAGGGCCCTGGCGGGCCTGTGGTGGCCCTGCTAGGCCGCTGGTGGTCCCATGGGCCCTGACAGAACTGTGGTGCCCTGACAAGCCTGAAGTGCCTCCGACAGGCCCATGGTGCCCCTGACAGGCTGGTGGCGCCCCTAGCAGGTCTATGGTGCCCCTGGCAGACCTGTGGTGCTCTTGCTAGACCGATGGTGCTCCTGACAGGCCTGTGGTGCCCCTGGCGGGCCTGCGGTGCCCCAGCCCGGATAGGCTGGTGGTGCCCCTGGCAGGCTTGCGGCGCCCCCGGGTCCACCTGACGGGGGGGGGATCCTGAAGTATTTTGAATTAAGAATATGAAGTAGTTTGAGGTGTCTAATTAGCGGCAGACGAGGTGCAAACGTGCTCATTAATATGCAGAGTGGGGAGCAAATGGCGCACTTAAACCGCTGTAAAAGGTCTGTGAACCGGGAACAGGTTCCTGACGCGCCGCCTGTACCGACAGCCCCATCCGTAGCCGGTTCCTCTTCCGCCTCGAACGTGGGAGCTGATGACCGCTCCGATTCTCATCCCGTCCGTCGAGATGGAGAAGATGTGTCACTGCTGCGCTGCCCACCATCCTCTGTGGCCTGTCCGGAGATCATGAGCCAGCTGGGAGACACTGCTGACCACCGGGTGGCTGCGGGGCGTCGGTAACTTGCTCGCGCTCGCAGGCAGCGACAATTCCTGCGCTGCCTGCGAGCGCGAGCAAGGTTTAAAGATCGCGCATTAAACATAAAGCACCTCATCCCTCAAGGAGATTACACCTTGAGGAATGAGGTGTTTTATGTTTAAAGCTCGATCAAAGTAGCTCGCGTCTGTAAGTTCTCAATGTTGTTGTGACGAGTGTTTGGCGACGGGAAGATGCTGTGAAGCATGAAATCAAGTGTACTGTCGCGTTGTTATTAAGCGCACGCATATAGTTGTATAGTGTGTTTGAAGACAGGAATACAGGGATTTCAGGGTTATGCTTCATGCTTGGAAACTTGAACAGTGTTTAACACTGTTCTTGAAATGCGCCATGATTTGGCCTTTGCCATATCATCAGTGGACAACTTATAAAAGGACCAAAGGTTATACATCGTTTATTCACTTCGTTAATACACTTGCAACCAGGGTTTCGGAGTCGGAGTCGGAGTCGGAGTCGGAGTCGCCCGGGGTCGTGGCAAGCAGCCAGGAGTCGGAGTCGGAGTCGGAGTCGGTCAAGATGCCTCGACTCCGACTCCGGGAAGTTACTAAAATCCGTGATATCACTTTTCAGTTGTTTTTAACCAGTGGCCCCCGCGGTAGAGTTCGCTTCTGGTGATCAAAAATAACTTTTGCACACATCTTTTTTTTTTGTTCTGAGTCCCGGTCCTGGACTTCCACGCCCTGCTGGGGGTGGGGTCACCGAAAGTAAAATTTCGGCACTTCGCAGGTCAAACTTCGATAAGTCCCGACAAACCATCGCTTAACTCAGGAATGGATAGAGCTACAGTGCACAGTGGAAAAGCGCATTCGATAGCTCTTCTAACGGTCTTTCTGAATAGTTCTCGCATATTTGACCTGAGGTCAACGGTTTAGCCTGCAGGAGGCAAAAGCTGTCAAAATAGACGTTCTTTGCGGAAACGGTTTTTCTGCGATAACTTTTGACTCAAAACTTGCACGAGATTATTTTTATCAGCATCGTGTTTCTCTCGTCAAGACTCGTCATCGAATGAATTATAATTCAATTCCTTTTCCAATTCAATCCAATTCAATTCAATCCCAATTCAATTCCAATTCCATTCCAATTCCAATTCCATTTCCAATTCAATCCTTCAATTCCAATTCCTCCACCTTCCTTTCGGAGCTCGGAAAGAGGATCACCGAGGCAACAGGAGATCGCCGTGAAGTCACCTGGCTGCGTCAACGGGTGTCTCTAGCCATCAGCCGGGGAAACGCCGCCGCCGTTCTAGCCACCGCCTCCTCGGTGCAAGAGAGGCACGTCTCAAGAGGCCTAGAATGTCGTCAGGTCAGCCTCGTAACCCCGCAGAAAGAAACAGGCGGCAGCAACCACACGAAGAAGAAAAGCAAAGACCAGTTGATCAGTATCTTGTTCCGGTCGTCCAAGCAACTGACTCGAATGAGACCGACAAGGACCCTCACGAGTCGCCGTCGCCGCGCCGGCTCAGCGATGCCTCCCGACGAGAGGGCGACTCGCCGCATCTGTCCGAGGCCAAGCGTCCGCGATCGGTGGAGCGGGCACCCAACTGCCCGGACCGTGCTGACAAGGAGAACACAAAGCGGCTGCAGGTGGCCAGCGTCGGCTCGCGCCGGATCTACGGTGCCTCGGCCGACGCCGGTGGCTCGCGGTTCGCTGCAAGTCCACAGATGCGGCCGACGCCATGGCCGCGCAAGTCCGGAGAGGGTGGCAAGAGCCCGCAACTGCACTGCAGTAAGGCGCAGACGGCAAGTCGTGGCCTGCAGCTGATCCCGGCCATGCGATCGCTCGACTCTGACGAGGACGGCAAGGACCCTCTGTATATCGGCCTACCCAACTGCGGGAACTCTTGCTATCAGAACACCACCCTGCAGTCGCTGCTGGGCCTGCGTCCGTTCCTGAGTGAGATGATCTCGGACCAGGACGAGAGCGGCCAGGGCCGCACGCTGCGCGCCGTCGCCAAACTGATGGTGCTGCGCCAGAAGGCGCTCAGCAAATCAGTCGCCAACCACCTTAATGACCTTCGCAACGTGTTCGCCGACATCGACCCGGTGTTCCAAGGGAGTGAGATGCAGGACGCCAACGAGTTCTTGCTTCGCCTGCTAGACACCATGAAGGAAGAGATCGACGCGCGGCGGACAACCGACAACCCGGTGCGAGACAACTTCCAGTACCAGATCGTCGAGAGTTATATGTGCACCAATTGCCATGAAACCGTGCTGAAACGGCAAGAGGACATTAGCTGGTTTGTCAGCGTGCCGCGCCGCCAGGGCACAGAGGCGCCCACGCTGCAGGACGCACTGCGGCTGAGCATGCGACCCGACCGGCGCCACCTGCTCTGTCAGCACTGCTGCCACGATGAGTGCCGTGTCACCACCAAAATCAGCCAGCTGCCCAGGACGCTGATACTCCAGCTCAACCGGTACGTCTTCCTTGGGGAGGACTCGAAGAAAATCTGCGCATATGTCGGCATTCCCAAGTTCCTTTCGCTGAACGAGCACGTCGCGGACGACGTCACCCGGCCTCCCGAGTGGAAGTGCACAAAATCTCCCTTGTGCACCCTCTCCTACTTCGAGGAGTCTGAGGCGCCCAGCTCGGGTCCGTCGCCGTCGTCCACCGCCCGTGGACCGTCGTCAGTGCCGGCCGGTACCGCTGGCCTGCCAGAGACCGCCACCGCCGGCTCGCCGGGGTCGGCCGGAGTCGCGGCACCGACGTGCCCCCCGTCACCGACGACCGGTGCCGAGCCGCCGCCGCCGCCAGCGCAGGCCGAGCGTGTGGTGCTGGACGCCGACTCCGTGGAAGACGGCCAGTCTCTCTCTTCAGTGGACCTGGCCGGCGACTTTACCTACCGACTGGTGAGCGTCGTCAGCCACTACGGCAGCGCCACGCACTCCGGACACTACGAATCGGACGTATACAGCGTCGGCAGGGACCGATGGTTCCACTATGACGATCGCCGAGTCAGCTGTGTTGACGAGACCGACGTTCTGGATAATGGACCCCAGAGAAACGGCTATATTTTCTTTTACCTCCACAAAGACCTATGCAGCCAAGTAGTCAGCGTGGAGGGTGCTGACGGGGCACTGTGACGGACGCGGCAGGGAGCACAGGTTCTGAGCGGCACCGGCGGCGGAACGACCCTGACCGCCTACTTGTGTATGAGTGTATGTGCGGCCGTGTGTGTGTGCGCCCGTGCATGTAAATCGTGTATGGTGATATCACGTGCTATTTGTTCAAGTCAAAAATGTGTTATATGTTAACTATGAGACCAAATACATAGTAGAGATATCTATTTAAAAAAAACTATAATTTGACCTCGAAATGTCAACTTTAACCCGCGCACCGACGGGGGTCTGCGCCAACTTCGCACCGACGGGGGGGGCGGATGACCGCCCCCCCCCCCTGAGATCTCGAGAACGAAGCAAGATAGCGACAAGCGGTAAACGGCATCGGATACGCACGGCCAAGATCTACAATTTTTACTAAGGTCATTTTCAGGTCAGGTCAAAGATGACGTCACAGAGGTCGAAAAAGTCAAAATGGCGGCGCTAGATATGGAGAGAGTTTTTCTCGAATAACTTTCGAATTAGTCAAGATAGGAACAAACTAAGGGCATCATCGTGATCCTCTCGTCAATCCGCATCGAATGATATATATGTTGACCTCGAAAGGTCAAGGTCAAAGGTTGACCTCAGGTCACGTGACCTCGAGGTCATCATGTATATCATTCGATGCGTCTTGACGAACTGAACACAATGAGACCATCCACGCGTCTGTATCTTGTTCCTGTACGGAGTTATTGGCCAAAAACCTTTGGTGACCTTTGATGACGTCACATGACCTCACAGCTGCCCAACAGCAAAACAGACCTCAAGGTAGTGAAGGTTGATCTTATATGAAGTCATGTATGGTATATGGGGCCATTCCGACCCGTTTTAGTGGTAAAAACAGGGAGTTGATTTTTCCCCCATTGACTTATAATGAGGAGGTCGCGAAATTGACCTGACCTTAGGTCATCGATATCAAAATTCCGAAATAACAAATTGTAGCTACTAATGACCTAATAATATCCTGCGACTTTCAAAGGCCTCCGACATCTACTGTAGCTCTGGCACGGTGACAAAGTTGCAAAAAAGTGACTTGAGGTTGGGTCATTCAAAGTGACCTGGTGACCTGACCTTAAAAGGTAGGAGGTTCAAACTTGCACACCATGTGTAAAATTGATGAGGTTATAGTCATACCAAATTTCGCGGCGCTACGCGCCGCGGTTTTCCCGCTATTCGCGAAAAACCTCAGGGGGGCGGATATCCGCCCCCCCCCCGTCGGTGCGCGGGTTAAATTGGACCTCAGGTCAAAGTAATGGCCTGACAGGAAAAGGTCATGTTACATATCAGTCGATCCGTATCGTCGAGCCGAACACATCTAAAGCGTTTTCATCGCTCTAGCGTACCTCTATCAAAAGTTATTAGCGAAATATGTTAGATATCATTCGTGACCCGAGATGACCTCAGGGACATAACGAGGGGTCACGGGTGCCATTTTCTGGTTCATTGTGTCATGTTTACTTGTAATTCGATGTTTTAAATATGGAATTGTTGTACTGGGACATGGTAAATATTCAGAAACGAATTATTCGACACCAGTAATATGTATATGATCGGTAGCTTTCGGGGGCTGCTGCCTCCTTCATCAGCCTGCTTTTTAAATGCATTAGAACACAAGACAATACGTTTCAAACATGTCTACCAAAAAGTAAACCGCCACGAGGAAAAGTTGTAACGGTACGTCTCAAGCATAGATGCACAACAGTTTGATACATGATAACAAATAATAACACTCATAATTAAGTCGCCATCGTCCGTAATATCCGTAATAAAACATTCGACATTAATCGTGATCCGTGGTCGTAACAATCGAGTTCGCACAATCGGGGTCATGACTCATTAATCGATGGTAATCGTTATAGGATCGTAATCGTTACATACTCGCAGGCGCACAAGCTTGCATAAATTCGCTCTGATAGCCACACGCCTATGCAACAAAACAATTTTCAACAATCCAAAAGCAAGTGTACCTATTTTTGACAGCTCACTCAGCCTCATCGAAAAGCGCCTTACACACGTAGTGCCCGGTACATATCAGGCACCTCCCACCCGGGTAAGATGTTAATGCTATTGTGTCTTTCTACCCTGGAAATGTAAAAACCCTCCTTCACCTTTCGTTTACCCCAGTTCGTTTCATAATCCAAAATTCTAACTTCGTCCCATTTGATAGAGTGTCCTGTCTCTAGCACATGTTTAGATATCCCTGAGTGATCCCGGTTTCCGTTTGCTATAGCTCGTTTGTGTTCCGATTCCCTCGTCCTTAGCTTTCTCCCGGTTTCTCCTACATAAATTTTTCCGCACTGACACTTATACTGATAGACCAGCCCAGCCTTCTCCTTCACCCCCAACCTGTCCTTAGGTTTGACGAGTCTAGCACTAAGGTTGGCTGCAGGTCTCGTGCTGACCTTCGCGTAGGGTCGAAGGACGCGCGTTACCTGTTCAGTCACCCCCTGGATGTAAGGGATACTTACATAAGCCCGGTTGTCATCTTCCGCTCCCCTAGCTGTCCGTCCGGAACCCTCCCCCTCCCCCATCCTAAGCCGTTCTTTATTCTTTACCGGCCTCTGAATACGTCGCACCAATCGCTTGGGGTAGTTGTTCTTCTCTAGTGCCCGTTCTATTTTCCCTGTCTCGCGTTCCTCGTCTTCAGGTGTTGTTGTGAGCCGTGATGCCCGTGTGAAAAGTGTCTGTGGGACTGATGCTTTGTGTTGTGTGCTGTGGTGTGACTCAAAGTGAAGGTACTTGTCTGTGTGTGTCGCTTTTCTGAACACTTCGGTCTTCATGGTCCCCCTCCCTGCCTATGTACCCTTACATCCAAAAACGGTAGCGACCCCTCCCTCTCCTCTTCGAACGTGAACTCAATCCTCTCATGCTGAGCGTTGAGGTGGTCGAGTAGTTCACCTACCTTGTCTTTCTTTACGATCACGAACGTGTCATCCACGTAGCGTCTCCATAGTTTCACTGGGTGTGGGAACGACTGAAGCGCACTAGACTCGAACGATTCCATAAACAGGTTGGCCACCACTACGCTCACTGGACTCCCCATGGCCGTGCCCCACTTTTGTTTGAAGAACTTTCCGTTAACCCTAAAGTAAGTAGTACCCAGACAAAGTCGTAATAGTTAACCCGCGCCCGGCTGGGGGTCCTGGATTTCCACGCCCTGCTGGGGGGGTGTTTGAACACCCCCCCCCCTTGTAACTCGGCTCCTGGGCCACGTAGCGATACGCGGAAGGCGGCGTTCGAAAGAGCGTCAAAAATAATGACGAAATCACTTCGGTCAATTTTTTGGTCAGGTCAAAGGTCAGGTCACCAGAGGTCATTGAAGGCAAAATTTCGCCGATTTCCAGGTCGAATATCGAAAATTTCCAAGAAGCCAACGCATAACTCGGGAACCAATAGAGCTACAGCGCCGCGGAAAAGCGCATTCGATAGCTCTATTAACGCCCTTTCTGAATAATTCTCTCAGATTTGACCTAACGTCAACGGTTTTGCCTGCAGGGGGCAAAAATTGCAAAAATACCCGATTTTTTCGGAAACAGTTTTTCGGCAATAACTTTTGACCCAAGCCTTGTACGAGCTTACTTTTACCGGCATCGTGTTCCTCTCGTCAAGACGCATCGAATGAACTATAACTTGACCTTGAAAGGTCAACTTGAAAATTTGACCTCAGGTCAAGGTCATGACCTGACCGGAAAGGGTCATGTTGCATATCAGTCAATCCGTATCGTCGAGCTGAACACATCTAAGGCGTTTTCATCGCTCTAGCATGCCTCTATCAAAAGTTATTTGCGAAAAACTGTTAGATACAATTCGTGACCTAAGATGACCTCAGGGCATAAACAAGGGTCACGGACACCATTTTCATGTTCAGTGTGTCTAAACCACTTGTATTTCAGTGTTTGGGAGTGTTTATAATGTCTTTCGTCCAAAAGAGGCGCATTTCAATTTTCTCCCATTGACTTATAATGGGGAGGTCGCAAAATTGACCTGACCTTAGGTCACCGATATCAAAATTCCGAGATATACATTTTATAGATACTGTTACTCTTATCAATCGCTGAAAGTTTCAAAGCGATCGGTCACTCGGTGTAGCTATGACATACATTGAAACTTTTTATGAGGTGAGGTCACTTCAAGTGACCTGGTGACCTGACCTTGAATGACCTTGGTCTGAAATTTTCACAACATGTGTAGAATTGATGTATGATAAGGTATACCAAAAACGGCGGCGCTCCGCGCCGCCGTTTTTGAGATATTCGCGAAAAACCACAAGGGGGGTGTTCAAACACCCCCCCCCCGGGTGTTCAAACACCCCCCCCCCCCCAGCAGGGCGCGGGTTAAATGATGTCCTCGACCTCTAGTGCTGTTTCCGCCCTTACCCTGCTCTCCTCGTCCAAAAACTCTTCTTCGAGTCTCTGGCGTGCTACGTCACATGCTGCCTCTGTCGGTACCGACGTGAATAGCGCTTTTACGTCAAAAGACACCATGGTTTCATCGTCGCTGAGCGTTACCCCACGTAAACTCTCTTTGAAACCCACCGTGTCCTTAACATGTTGTTCGGACCTGCCCACAAGAGGAGATAGGATGCCTGCTAGGTGTTTCGACAGCGCGTACGTCACACTGCCTATGCTCGACACGATGGGTCGTAGCGGAACTCCCTGCGATACTCGTTCGATACTCGTTCGATATACTCATCCTGAGTGAAAGCTGGCTGTCGGCCAATACACCTGACCGACTTCTTAACAGCGGCTACAAACTCGTTCGGAAGGACCGACCACGTCGTGGTCGACTGGCCAGCGGCCATGGCGGTGTGGCAATATGCGTCCGTGAGTCGTTCGAGACCCAGATGTTGCCAACGCCAGTGACTCACGTACCCAACTCGAACCTAGAAATGATGTGGACAGTGATTCGAGTAGGAAAACACCGGCGACTGTTAGTCGGTGCTGCCTACCGAGTACCGAAGAACACTGTTCACCAAGTCACCGCCGATCTGGACGACTTCGAGGCGCAGTTGCAACACATGATCGCTGCCTACCCTGACTTGACAATAATCATCGGAGGAGATATGAACTGTTGCCTCCTCAGGCCTGGGCAGAAT